AAGAGTTGACTCATTGGAAAAGACCCTGATGCTGGGAGGGATTGGGGGCAGGAGGAGAAGGGGACGACAGAGGATGAGATGGCTGGATGGCATCACCGACTCGATGGACATGAGTTTGAGTAAACTCAGGGAGTTGGTGATGGACAGGAAGGCCTGGCTTGCTGTGATTCATGGGGTCGCAAAGAGTCAGACACGACTGAGCAATTGATTGAGAGCTGAACTGAACTGAATGATTAAGAGCTTTAACTAAGTTTCAGAAGTATTTCAAAGATAGAAGTTTAACAAAGAATTGTTGTTTTCCATCATTTCTTTCCTCAAAGATAAGGTTACTTATAGTTGACCTAAACTGGGAAATTCAGCCTTGCTCCAACCTTTCACTTGACACTCTGGTATCATTTTGGTCACTCCTATTCTCTCTCTCTGTTCTCTAGCCATACAATATTCCTTATTTTCTTACTTCCTAGCCCTGAATATTCTTAGAATATGCATCTCCCCTTTCCTTCATGATTCATTACACCTTGTACCAATCTCAAATTAGATTTTATTTCCCCTTTGCTCATAAACCTTGCCAGCAGTATTAAGATCAAGGTGACAGGACAACTCCCAACACTCAAGCTTTATTTTTTACTTCTCGAGATGTTATAAAATTCCTATTTACTCATCAAATCCTTGCTCAACTCTAAGATCTTTGAAAGGAAGGACTTTCTGCTCAACACTGCATTCTTAGTTTTCACCCACATATCTGGCACATTAATGTATACCAATGACAGGAGTTAAGTTTTACCTCATCTGTAATTTAGTGAATCATTTGAGTAATGAGAACACTTTCTGGGATAATAGTGAAGTCATCTATCTTAATAGGCAACAGGATTATTCAGAGATATGCATATGCCAAAATGCAGCAAATGAATACTTAAAATTTAAGCATTTTTTAATTAAAATTTTATTCCAAAAGAAAAATTCTAGTTAATGATATGCATTCTAAATTATTTATTAGGAAGCATCTTAATGTCTAAAATTAATTTTCAGATGCCTAAAAATGGGATCAATAGATCTGTGACAAATATATAAAATGGTAAAATCTAGGCAGTGGGTATAAGGGTGGTCACTAAAAATCTTTCAATTGGATGTAAGTAGAAATTTTCTTATTAAATATAAAAGTATATTCATAAGAATATATAATACACATTATACAATGTACATCAAACAAATTATAATGGTTTCCTATGAAGGGAGCAGGGGAACAGAAGAAAGTAATATAAAAGGAAATTTAAAGGAATAAATAAGTGAAAGTAGAAAGGTTCTCTAGTCTTTGCATTGACCAATGAGGATGGTGGACTATAAAGTGAGAAGTGGGATGCACCTGAGAAACGAAAATAAACATTGATTTTTAAGCTTAATAATAAATGATTTACACTTTATAAAGAGAGCAGATTAATAAACAGCCATATGTATCATTTAAATAACAATATCAATATCAAGAAAAGTACACAAAAGCTTCAAAGCTTAATCCACGGTATCTGCATCAAAGTAACTATGAATATTTACCTGTGAGGATAGATAAGGTAGTAGTCTTCCCTGCTCCATTATGACCAAGAAGAACAGTGATTTGCCCCTCATATAAATTCAAAGACAAGTCTTGAACTGCTAGTACTGTCATATTTTGCAATGTGAATTCCTGTGAAAAGAAAAAAAAAACCCCAAAATTTATATCTATTACTATTACTTATAAAGGGCATGCATTTATATCAATTATCTATAGAATAAGAAAATAAGAGACCACTAATCTCAAAAAGTAAAATCAAAGTATAAAAGAAAAAAATCATGAACAATTATATCTGGAAGCAAAATGTGTATAGAAGTTCAAAGTAGGTCCATAAGACTTTTTCTGAACAATTTCATGGAGTCCCACTTTGATCCATTCACTGTCATGAAGCTGATATATTACAATCTGCTCCAGTCAATGTCTTTCTGCTAAATTCCTGAACTTAATGCAAAAACTCATTATATGTGGTTGTCCTATAAGCACTTCAAACTCTACTAATTAGTTAGTTCAGTCACTCAGTTATGTCCAATTCTTTGCAACCCCATGGACTACAGCATGCCAGGCTTCCCTGTCCATCACCAACTCCCAGAGCTTGCTCAAACTCATGTCCATCGAATCGGTGATGCCATCCAATCATCTCATTCTCTGTTGTCCCCTTCTCCTCCTGCCCCCAATCCCTCCCAGCATCAGGGTCTTTTCCAATGAGTCAACTCTTCGCATCAGGTGGCCAAAGTATTGGAGTTTCTGCTTCAGCATCAGTCCTTCCAATGAACACCCAGGACTGATCTCCTTCAGGATGGACTGGTTGGATCTCCTTGTAGTCCAAGGGACTCTCAAGAGTCTTCTCCAACACAACAGTTCAAAAGCATCAATTCTTTGGCACTCAGTTATCTTTATATTCCAACTCTCACATCCACGCATGACTACTGGAAAAACCATAGCTTTGACTAGACGGGTCTTTGTCTGCAAACTAATGTCTGCTTCTTAATATGCTGTCTAGGTTGGTCATAGCTTTTCTTCCAAGGAGCAAGCTTCTTTCAATTTCATGGCTGCAGTCACTATCTGCAGTGATTTTGGAGCCCAAGAAAATAAAGTCTGTCACTGTTTCCATTGTTTCCTCATCTATTTGCCATGAAGTGATGGGACTGGATGCCATGATCTTAGTTTTTTGAATGTCGAGTTTCAAGCCAGCCTTTTCACTCTCCTCTTTCACTTTTATCAAGAGGCTCTTTAATTCTTCTTTGCTTTCTGCCAAGGATGGCATCATCTGAATAACTGAGGTTATTGATATTTCTCCTGGCAATCTTGATTCCAGCTTGTGCTTCACCCAGCCCAGCATTTACTATGATGTACTCTGCATATAAGTTAAATAAGCAGGATGACAATATACAGCCTTGATATACTCCTTTCTCAATTTGGAGCCAGTCTGCTGTTCCACGTCCAGTTCTAACTGTTGCTTCTTGACCTACATACAGATTTCTCAGGAGGCAGGTAAGGTGGTCTGGTATTCTCATCTCTTTAAGAACATTCCATAGTTTGTTGTGATCCACACAGTCAAAGGCATTGGCATAGTCAATAAAGCAGAGGTTTTTCTGGAATGCTCTTGCTTTTTCTATGATCCAACAGATGATGGCAATTTGATATCTGGTTCCTCTGCCTTTTCTAAATCACTTGAACATCTTCAAGTTCTCACTTCACATACTGTTGAAGCCTTGCTTGGAGAATTTTGAGCATTACTTTGCTGGCATGTGAGATGAGTGCCATTGTGCAGTAGTTTGAACATTCTTTGGCATTGCCTTTCTTTGGGATTAGGATGAAAACTGACCTTTTTCAGTCCTGTGGCCACTGCTGAGTTTTCCAAATTTGCTGACATATTGAGTGCAGCACTTTCACAGCATCATCTTTTAGGATTTGAAATATCTCAACTACAATTCCATCACCTCCAGTAGCTTTGTCTGTAGTGATGCTTCCTAAGGCCCACCTGATTTCACATTCCAGGATATCTAGCTCTAGGTGAGTGATCACACAACTGTGGCTATCCAGGTCAGTAAGATCCCTTTTGTATAGTTCTTCTGTGCATTCTTGCCACCTGTTCTTAGTATCTTCTGCTTCTGTTAGAGTCGTTCCATTTCTGCCCTTAATTGTGCTCATCTTTGCATGAAATGTTTCCTTGGTATCTCTAACGTTCTTGAAGAGATCTCTATCCTCTCTCATTCTATTGTTTTCCTCTATTTCTTTGCACTGATTACAAGGAAGGCTTTCTTATCTCTCTTTGCTTTTCTTTAGAACTCTGCCTTCTTTTCTCAGCTATTTGTAAGGCCTCCTCAGACAACAATTTTGCCTTTTCTCATTTTTGTTTCTTGGAAATGGTCTTGATCACTGCCTTCTGTACAACGTTATGAACCTCCATCCATAATTCTTTAGGCACTCTATCTATCAGATGAAATCCCTTGAATCTGTTTGTCATTTCCACTGTATAATTGTAAGGGATTTGATTTAGGTCATACCTGAATCATCTAGTGGTTTTCCCTACTTTTTTCAGTTTAAGTCTGAATTTTGCAATGCTGATTCTATAAAGCTTCTCCTTTTTCAGCTGAAAAGAATATAGTCCATCTTATTTTGGTATTGACCATCTGGTGATGTCCATGTGTAGAGTCATCTCTCGTGTTGTTGGAAGAGGGTGTTTGCTATGACCAGTACATTCTCTTGGCAAAACTCTATTAGCCTTTGCTCTGCTTCATTTTGTACTCCAAGGCCAAACTTGCCTGTTACTCCAGATATCTCTTGACTTCCTACTTTTGTATTCCAGTCCCCTATGATGAAAAGGACATCTTTTTTTGAGTGTTAGTTCCAGAAGCTCTTGTATGTCTTCATAGAACTTCAGCTTCTTGTGGCTCTGCTGGTGAAGAATTTGCCTGCAATGTAGGAGCCCTGGGTTCGATACCTGGGTTGGGAAGATCCCCTGGAGAAGGGAAAGGCTATCCACTCCAGTATTCTGGCCTGCAGCATTCCGTGGACTCTATAGCTCATGGGGTCACAAAGAGTTGGACACCATTGACTGACTTTCACTTTCACTCATCTGAAAATGTATTCCTCCTGCTATATTCATTTTCTGAGTAAGTTACACCATTATCTATCTGGATGTACAAGGCAAAAGCTTGGGATTTCCTTACCCATAGCTCCCTCTGCCTCATCTTCTAAAATTTATCAGTCACGTATCCAGTGGATCCACACTGGCTGCCTTGTTAAAAACAATGCCTGAAGGACACTAGAGCAAATTGTCAGCTTTTCCATGGTTGAGGCGGGGCTGAGAGCAGTGCCGAAACAGTATACTGTGTGACCCTGTGCAATGGGTGACCAATGACACGACAGAGTGCAACCCCTGACAGACAGCTCTAGTGGAGGAATACTTGGTGTTTCCTCTTCCAATGGGAGCACTGCAATACCACCTACTTCACAGTGCAGCTCAGAAAGATGAGGGGTTCCTACTCCAACAACTAAGGTGCAGATCCTGCCCCTGATAAGGCTGCGACAACCACAGGGAAAAGAGGAGGCACTGCTTAACATGCAGGGCAGGTTCTGATCACCATAAGACCAGTCACACTGCATATCAAGGGGATAAAAGCCAGGACACATTGAGGAAAGAAGAAGCAGTCATCCATACTAAAAACAGCATTGGCACCAACAATATCAAAGCCATTCAGGCTACACAGGGATGCTGCCACATAAAATAGCCCTCTAAAACCATGGTAGATAATTGTTTCTCCTAAACTCACAAAGTAAGAGAAACATAGATAAAAAGAAGTAGAGGAACAACTCCCAGATAAAAGACCAAGACAATTCCCCTAAAAGAACAAACAATGAAACAGACCTCTCCAGTCTGATAGACACAGAGTGCAAAAAGGAGACAATGAAAGGCTATCAGTAAAAATTCAGATTATTATATAAAGAAGCTAGAAACTATAAAGAACCAAGAAAAATGAGAAATCTCATTTGCTGAGGCAAACGCTGAGCTAGAAACAATGAACAGAAGATTAAATAATANAGGGGATCTTCCCAACCCAGAGATCAAACCGAGGTCTCCTGAATTGCAAGCAGATTCTTTACTGTCTGAGACACCAGGGAAGCAAAAGTTAAATGTAAAGAGAAGATGCTGAAGGCAAGGAGAGGAAAAAAATAAATTGATAGCAAGGAAATCTCCTTAAGGCAATCAACTGGTTTCACTATAAGAATGTTGCAGGCCAAAAGGAAGTAGCAAGATATATTCACAATCTTGAAAGAGAAAAATCTGCAACATAAGATACTCTTTCCAGAAATATTATCATTTAGAATAGAAGGAGAGATAAAGAATTTCTGAGACAGGAAAAACTAAAAGAACTAAACTAAAAAGAAACCTATCATAAAGGAAATATTGAAAGATATTTTCTAAATAGATAAGAAATAAGAACCATAGAAAAGAGAAAATCAGAATTGAAAAGGAAATTACTTAAATAAACCAGTATACAGATTTTTTAAAAATAAAAAAAAATTTTTTAATGAAAGCAGTGAACAGCAAAAGGGTAAATATGAAGATGTGAAACAGGACAACAAAGCCAATAAGTGTGAAGAAGTAGAATAACAAAATGCAGATATTTTTTACAATGTGTTTAAGCCTATAAGAAAATCAGTCTAAAGCAGTTAGATATAGGAAAATGTTAACATACTTGAAAAACAAGATAATCACAGACATACGATAGTTTCACAAAAAACAAAAAACAAGAGAACACAATACAAAAGGAACTAATCAAACAACAAAAGGAAGAACAAAAAGAAAAAGAAAGGAACAAAGAAGAAATCAACAAAGAAACACAAAATCAACTGGAAAATTAGGTTTAAAATGGCAATAAATACATATTTATTGATAATTACCTTATGTCAATGGCTTAAATGCTGCAGTCAAAAGACACAGAGTGGAAGACTGGATTAAAAACACCAGGAGTCTAGCTGCTTAGAAGAGAATATTCAGTGCAAAAGACAGATATAGGCTGAAAGTGAGAAGATGAAAAAGACATTTCATTCAAATGGAAATTAGAGGAAAATGGGTGTAACAGTATTCATATGAGAAAAAATAGACTTTAAAACAAAGGCCATAA